GTCATCATTGTGAATTTCTACAGTTGGAAATCTAATATAAAAAAATAACCTTCAATAAATAGCAACTGTTTTATTTTCCTCTTGTGTAAAAATGGGAGCGCTGGTGGCATAGTGCTAAGGCATTTGACTGCTAACCTTAAGGATGGCAGTTCAAAGCCACCAGTCATTCCTCAGAAGGAAGATTGGGCAATCTTCTTCTGTAGTGACACTGCCTGGGAAACCCAAGGAGAAGTCGCTATGAGCTGGATCCGACTCGATGGCAGTGAGTTTGGTTTTGTGTGTGTGTGTGTGTGTGTGTGTAAAAATGGCTAAAAATTTTCTTAAATATCAGGTAACTGTAACTACTTTAGCATTCTACTTCTATATTGATGATGCCCCTGGCCATATTTAAAAAGTTCACTTCAGGAATAATAAGAATGTTTAATCATGATTAGATACACTTCTTACACCACTTTTCTCTTAAGAAATCTCATGGCAAAAGAGGTAATAAAACAATTGTTTATATGTGTGCATGTGTATGTATGTATGTATACATACACATGAGGAGGGAGATGTTATTAATTGCTTAACAAAGAAACAAAAGGGGAAACAAGTAATAAGATCTCACCGAATACAAACCAAAAAAACAAACAAACAAACTTACTGCTGTCGAGTCGATTCCGACTCACAGCGACCCCTCCTTGGGTTTCTGAGGTGGTATCACTAAGGACGTAGATTGCTCAGTCTTCCTTCCAAGGAGTGGCTGGTGGGTTTGAACTGCCAGCCTTCTGGTTAGAAGTCACATTCCTTAGGCACTACGCCACCAGAGCTCCCTCACCTAATAATGGCACACACCAGAATCTTTGTCAGTAAATACTCAGATTTTTCCTACAAAGATTGCTTTTATTTAGAAAGAGAAAGGAAGAAAAAAATATAAGAAGCTAACATTAAAAATTACCATCATCAGAGGGGAAGTAAAACTTACACTAAAATTTGTAGTCTATTAAAACAAACCACAAAAATCTATTTTAGAGTAAGCCTAGTAAGAAAATGCTCCTTGGTGTTTATATATTATGATATACATTTAATCACAATAAAAGTTGAGGAAACATATAAAGAGAGAAACAGACAGACACACCCTAGGTGATGTAAACAGTTAAAGAATGTGCTCAGCTGCTAGCTGAAAGGTTTGAGGTTTGAGTCTATGCAGAGGCACCCTGGAAGAAAAGCCTAGCAATCTACTTCTGGAAGATTCAGCCAATGTAAACTCAATGGAGCACTGTTCTACTCTATAACACAGGAGGTTGCTGTGAGTTAGAACTGACTCTACAGCAACTGGCTACAGACACACACACACACAATTATATATATTTAGAATATTTGAAGGCTATAATATTATTTAAAAATTAGTCACATCTGTGATAAATACTGCATATGTGTTTCCTTCTAAAATCAAAAACTAAAGGTTGGAGGTAGGGCAAGATGGCGGACTAGGCAGAAGGATTGCACAGACCCTCTTCAACAAAGAAAAGGGAAACCAATTAACACAGACACAG